GTGCTGGTCTCAGCCTCCTGGCGGCGTTCAGTTTGTCACCTAATGCTGAGATCGACTCAAACCCTTCCGCAATCAAAGTATTGCAGCCCTACTCTAGTAAAGCACGAACAGTTCGGAAACAATATGAAATGAGGAAAAAAATTTTTATGTGTTTTAGATTGTTTTTGAAAAACTAATCAGATACGACTGATTAGTGGGTGAACTCACGGCTGCACAGTGAACCCATTGATTTCTTACAGCTGACAGCTGCTCCCATCTCTTGCAGGTACTGCGTACCCCCGCTAAATCTTTTAGGGGTACACAGTAACTGACCGTACCCCCTTACTTTCACCCCTGTATATAAGTTTCTGCTCTTTTTCTTTCACAATTTCTTTTAGTTGTTACATAAACTATTTATATTTATAACTGATTGAATGAAATAAAAAAATGGAACAAACTGAAATAAAATAGATTAAGTGGATAATAAACTGAGGTTAAATTCCAATTGAATAGTCCAACTCTCCCCCCTGCTGACAGGTATTTATAGAGTGTAGACCTAAATGTGTAGAGACACATTAGCTAATGCTTCCTATTGATGCTGATTGGTCGTGATTTTGCAGGTTTTTACAGTTTTTCTTTAATGTCAATCAGCAGGTGTCCTGTGGTGTCTGAGCCCTAACCCTAAATTCCACAATTAAATGACAAGTAGCTGGATAAAACCTCCACTGGAGGGAGCTGTGGGCCAAGTCTTCCAGAGACCAGCAATCAGTTGCTGTGGGTAGAGCTTTAAACAATGACTCTATTAACCTGAGTTCAACTTCAGACTGACCAATGAGAGCTTCAGATTTAAAGGACTGACTGATCAACAATGCAGATGATTCCTTTCAGTGCTGAGGTTACAGGTCACAAGTGTCACATCTGTTGCACACAAAAGCTCTGCAGTAAAACAGTCTAATCTGCATACAGCATCAGTTCTTCCATGCAGCATCGCTGTTACATGGCAACTACTTCACTTGTTACGCTTATGAGCAAAATGAGGATGAAAATGCAAGATTTCCTTTTAAGTGAAACTTCTTTATTAGAAATGTATTCTAAAAAGTCATAAATCCTCCGCAGAAAGCTCTTTCATCTTCTAATAAAAAGCAGGTGCAAAGTATCAAATGCAATAAGCGACTGAGAAAGAAATTCAATGGATTCAGATATGCCAATAAACATCGACCCACACATCAAACCTCCAACCCAAGTGGCACTTTGGGAGCAATTAGGGCAGCAGGGGAATACTCCGGGGTGTCTTACAAGCCTTAGTAATGAGGAGCCTTTAACATAGTGTGATATTTCACATCATCTTCCTCAGCTAGCAATTCCATTTACATTCCCTGAGGGCCAGAGAGAAGCCTTTCCCTTTAAATGTCTTTCTTTATCATCTGCAGAGGACTCAAGAGCAGAAGCCAGGTTATGGAAGCTACCTCTGTTGTTTGAACATTTGCTGAAGTAATAAGATTACATTACTGTAGATACAGGAGTTCTGCAGATTGCACTGTAACTGCAGACCTTCCTACAAAATGCTAAAATGTTGGAGCTTATAGCATACCGTCTTTGAGAAGAGCAAAGATGAAAGAAGTTGTTTATTATTAAATATCCATCAGCTCTGAGCTCCTACAAGGAGCTGCGGTTGTCACGGTGACATTATGTGCACCATACTGTCAGAATTAGATCAAACAATTTCCTAAAACTCTGCATCCGACTGTTGCAGTTGAGAAATGCAGCAGTTGATGGCAGTTCTGCAACAATAAACACCAGGAGAACACACCAGGAGCATCATGTGCATCAGGCCAATGCACACACAATGTGCATTATATTTTATCAGTATTTCTTGTTTTTAATTTATTATGACTGTAGATTTTGAGAAATGTCAAAATATTTCAGATTTTCTACCTGGCAGGGATCGGCAGCAGCGATGGCCTGGCTTGCTTTCAAAGCCAGCAGGCAGATATCCTCTTGAGCCGTGATGAGGAGGTAAGTCACAATGAGAGCAAGGGAAGAGGACAGGCGCTGGCTGGACGTTAGAGCAGAGGTAACCGCCAGCAGCCAATCAGTGGCCGCACAAGGATCATAAGAAACTTTGTCCAATATGGACAAAGTCACGCTGAGCTCAGCGTACCAGGAGCTGAGAGGGAGGGTCAGCATTGGGCCAGGCTGAGGATGAGACCAGCAAAGATTAAAAAAGAATCACAACAGAATAAGATTTCAAAATTGTTTTATTGACAATCTACACATTGTAAAAATATGCCCAACTCACTTTTTCATGTTACAGCCACAAACTTCAATGAATCAACTTTAAAGGGATTTGATACAACAAACCAAGACAAAGTAGTGCATCATTGAAAAATCTTAACTGATTTATAACACTTTTAATGATTGTCTGCATCTGTGTGCAGCCCCCATTACTACAAAAAATCCAGTGCAGCTAACTGCCTTCAGGGGTCACCCAATCAGTAAACAGAACCCACCAGCTCATCTGATTGTGTTGTGCTGCCAACACAATCCGATAGGGAATCTGACAAAAATATGTCAAATGTCAGGCATTTATTTGTAAATATGTTGAAAACTCTCTTTCTACTTTCACTTTATATATTTGTGTTAGTTTATGTTGATTTGACAGAAAATTTAAATAACAGATGGAAGTTAGTGACTTTAACAAGACAAAACATGAAAAAGATGAAAGGTTGTGAATACCTTTCACAACCTGTACCTGCAGTGCCATTCCTAAACCTGGCACTACATGGCAATGTAGGAATGGCACTACATTCCTAAACACCAATCAGAGCAGATGTAGCTTCAGATGTAGCTCTCACAATGAAGACTGTAGCTGGTGGATCTTTTTGCTGCTTCTGTCTGACTGTTGGTTCCCAATCGCTAACCTCTAAACCAAACCTGTCAAAGCTGTATGCAACTATATCTTAAATCAGAAGAATGTATTCAGTGTATTAAAAAAGTCTTGTGTTTTTCTCTCAACAGCTGAACAGAGACAGAATAAACAGCAGCAAGTTATGTTTGAGAAAGAAGCTGGGTACCTGCCGGGCCTTTTTTGCAGGTTTGTTGATGCTGCGTAACAAGCTGTGGGCCAGACTCTGGTTTAAGCTGTGCGTCACTGGGTCAGCCAGCGGTTCGGTGAGCTGAGAGCAGGAGAGCAGCTGCAGCACGGGAAGAACCAGGACAGGACTCAGCCAATGAGACAGCTCTTCTTTTTCTGGAGATAAACACAGAGCTGCAGGAAAAAAAAATAGAAAGTCACAACAAAGTCAGAATAACATTTTTTTTAAAACCATATTAATGAAGTAGAATTTGAAATCAAATATTTTCCCATTCTTTATTTGCTTAATATATATATATATTGGAGCAAATATATTTAATATATATATTAAAAAATCTAAATATTTTAAAACCAATGATAGTTGCTGGAGCAAGTGGACAATTACGATGAAGAATTATGGCCACACAATGAGATTTTTGATCATAATAGTACAATAAAGATGCAACATTGCCACAACAAAAATGTAAAATTATGAGAAAGTTGTTTTAATGAGAGCAAGTTCTGACAGACAAGTTTGTCTAGTCCACGGCTTTTTGTTTGATAAAGATTTAGTTGTTTGTTCAATCATTTCAAAGTCCTGCTACTGGTAATAATAACTTGATGCTGATGTGTCAAAAGACAAAGTATTTCCTTATGTGTAAAACCATTATCAAAGAGTAACTTCACAAGATGCTCAACATTCCTCATTTTTTATTCAGTAGTTAATTTTTTTTTTTATTTTCCCAATATTACAACTTTATTCTGGTAATGAGTTTATTCTCATGTTATTTATTTAGATTTTGTTGTTGTACGACTTTTTCTCATATTATTATGACTCCCGTTCATTCTGGTAAAGATCTCCTGTCAGTCCTGCAACAATTATGAAGAGCTCTTCAGAATTATTGCAGTACTGACAGGAGATCTTTCCTGCACACATCATCACTATCCACAATGACTCTTTGAAAATACTTGGATGATATGAGTTATAACAATTTTTAATATCACAAAGAGTGCACCTTTACCCTCAGTGCACCAAAGAGTGCACTGAGGGTAAAAGTAGTGTTCTATTCAGGTCCTGCAGTTCAGGCAGAAGATTAAATCATTCATGCATTGTGAAGAAATGAGACTTCATAGTTGGTCCATATTCACCCAGAAGTTTTAGAACTGAACTGAATGTTCAGGTGCATAACAAAAGAATTGAAGGAGGGTGTCTTACCATGTGTATAATCATATTACATTTACATAGACTGATTGAAAACTTAAAACGTACAGCCGTTTTGGGTTCAAATACACATTCCTTTGTTGTGTTTTGGGTATAAAGGTGATCAATTTGAACTACTGTGGCATCATTTCACTGAGTAATATTTTTATATAGATTTAGTCTTACCCAGCCTAAACAGACTGTTCTGCTGATCTGGAGGAGCCTCACACAGAAGCAAGGCCACACCCATCATCAGCTCATCCACAGGCCATGTCTACAGAACACAGAAGTAGCAGTGTTCATTGTTTATATGAACCCTGCTCATTATTAGGCTCTTTGGAAGCCTAATAATGATCGTTAATCTCTTCCTTTCCAGTTCAGAGAGAATAGCAATTTCAACTCATCCAGCATCTGATAAAAATGTGCCTGACCTTGCATGCAGGGAGGAGTTTCTGTATTAGGCTGAGAAGCGGTCTGCAGTCTCCATTTAACTTCAAGCATTGGTGACATGCACACAGCAGCTGCACTAGCAGTCTGGCTCTCTCCGTTGCCCAGAGCTCTCCAGGGGCATCCATAAGACCCTGAAGCAGAGCGTCCACAAATCCACACAGTTCCAGCACTGCCTCTACACTGTCCACCTGCAGTGACAAACAGAAACTTTTTTCAGCCACCATGTAAAGTATAAAATCAGAATATGATAGCCCTTCATTCTACACAGGCAATACTTAAAAGTATAAAGTACCAAAAGTATTATTATTTAATTTAGCTATTATAAATCTAATTGTACACAAATCACATGTGGGGTACCTCAGGGCTGCATACTTGGTCCACTTTTACTGAAGGTCCACTTTTACCCAAAGGTATTTATACACAATGACATAATGGGAGTGTTGTCCACAGCTCATGCGTGCTCACAGGACACCCACAGCCCGCCCACAATATGCCCACTTTTCCGTATTCACCCTCGCAAAGTGAGAAACAGCAGCCAAAGGAGACACCCAACTTGGTGTGTCTCCCAATCTTGAAAGAAGCAGACAGGGTTGTCCACTCTCCTCCTCACTGTTCTCAATATTCACTGAACTGCTAGTTGCTCCAGTTCGTCAAAACAAACGTATGGAATTCAAACAGCTGACAGAATCTGCAAAATTTGTTTTCATGCTAACAATCTTTTCCTCTTTCTGTAAATGCAAACCAGTCTCTTCCAGAGATGACATAAATAATACATTTTTAATCATTTCAGACAACAATCAACAGAAAATGATCAAAGGCAACGTCCTCATGCGCGGCCTGCTGCAGTCTCTGAGTGGATGCATGAATTTGCCTCGTCTAAAGGCAGATACAGTAACTGCCTTTAGACACTTCCATGGTGATGGCAGCTTGCAGTGGTTCTACAAGCACAAAAACATGTCAGGCTAGGACAGCGGCTCTGATGTTCACAACTTATCTTTTCCAAATGTCTTTGCAAAGATTCTAGAACATCTGCACTTAAGAAATGATGTTTTGTTAACATGAAAAAAGTCACCACAGAAATATTCACTCATGATTTGTAACAGAGGAAACAGTTCTGTTTTCTTTTATCGTTTTGTGCACTTTGTAGATTCAGTCTGGGGGAGCACAGATTGCAATTTTCTAGCCAATCCCTAATCTCTCAAATACGATTTTGGCCGATTTTTTTTTCTAAAAAGTCATTAAATATAGCGCCAAAATCACCATGTTGGCAACAGTGGGGTGACTGTTGTTAACCGCTCATGTGCAGACATGACCTGGTGGAAAGATCTGTCATCAGCCCTCACTCACAGCAGAGCAAAATGGCAAAGCGGATCATTTTCAGACCTAATATCGGTGGAAAGATCGGTTTCACAAACAAGTTTCCGACGATTGCGATTTTCCAAAATGGAGGAAACCAGGGCCAATTTATTGGCCAGCCCATTTGTTGCACTACCCTTAATCAAGTCAATTTTGTAATTCACCATTAACTAGTAAGCAAAAAGTTCTTATTAAAAGAGATCATCAGTGACCTGTAAATATGAAACCAGCTGACAAAGGCAGAGCAGCAGGCTGTCAGACACCACTGCAGTGTTCTCGTGGTCCTTGCTCTTGGGCATCCATCCAACCCCTGGCTTTGTGGGCAGCAGCACCCTGAGCAGGCTCTGTCGGAGCAGTGCGTGCTGGGACTGCCTCTGAGGCTCGCAGTACAGATACCGGAGGAAGGGAACCAGCATGCTGATGTAAGATGCTTTATTCCTGGGGAACAGAACCACAGAATGAGGTAATTTGACTAATAAAACTTTAGTTTGTCTACAAACTGGTGACAGACACTTACACATGGAACTGAACACATCAAACCCATGCGGTGACAGAGTGCAAATGGCTGAGGCGGGAGGTGAGACCCCCACCTCAGCCATGCTTACCTGTCAGCAGCCTGACAGATGAAGTCATGGATCTCCAGCAGCAGCACCGGCCAGCAGTCTGCTCGGTTTTCCAGCGCTGTGATGTATGGGTGTGGACAGCTCCTGCACAGCAACAAAGGAGTAAAAGTCAAACACTTCTCATAGTTTCCCCCAAAGATTGCCGATTACAGCAAGATGGAGTCTGTGAAGCTGCCTGAGGCAACATGTTATCCATCCGAGTTTGAACAAGTCAACAAGGAGGATGGAACACCACAAACACACATGTTCAGTCTGCAATAAAGCACCATCCATCAGACAAAATCATCCTTAATAATGAGAAATAGGGTGAACCCATAAATTAGCCCTCCAAGTTGATCATTTTGGGAGATCAACCGATACTTACACATGAATCCGATTTTATCCATCAATCTTATTTTCCTCCTCTAATCTTACTTTCCTCCTCAAAGATCTGAAAATCAGTCAGTCCTCTTCTGCTCTGCTATGAGCAGAAGGCTCATAGCAGAGCCTTCTGCTCCTGGTGTCAGGAGCAGAAGGCTCCTGACACCAGGAGCCTTCTGTGTAGGCTCCTGTGTAGGCCTTCTGTGACATGACAGCCTTCCTGGTGTCATGTCTGTGTAGACATGACACCAGGTCATGTCTACACAGGACGGTGACATGACCTGGTGTCAACAACAGGTCATGTCGTTGACACAGATTTTTTTTTTTTCAGTAAGATTTTTTTTCCCTTTGTGAACCCATCATACCCAAGCTATGACTGATTGCACAGACAACAACACTCTTCAGTGTGGAAGCTGTTACTGGGGAAATCCACAATCCAAGTGGAAGCTGTTGTTAATCCTCCAGCCCACGGCAGGACAGAGGTTAACACAACAGTGTTGTTGGTGGGGGGTCAGCACCAGCAGCAGGTCCACTTCCCCAGTGACTTCCATCAATCAGCGAGGGAGGGAGGGAGGGAGGGAGGAAGGAAGGAAGGAAGGAAGGAAGGAAGGAAGGAAGGAAGGAAGGAAGGAAGGAAGGAAGAAAGGAAGAAAGGAAGGAAGGAAGGAAGGAAGGAAGGAAGGAAGGAAGGAAAGAAGGATAATGTACGGCCTCTGCACTTGTTGAACCCACACTAATAACTGAGCCACTCAGCACCCCCCACAGACTTACCTTACAGAAATATTTAAATAATGAAAACCTAACATATCTAAACTCCAAGAAACCAAAGCAGTGACTTGCTCTGTGATCAGTAGCTGATCAATGATCTTTAAAAAGCCTGATACAGATTTTTTTTTCTAACTGAAAAGTCAGAATAAAAAGCAACAAAGTCTCTAAATTGGCAACAGTGGGGTTCACTATTGTTAACTGCACATGTGCAGATGTGACCTGGTGGGCGGTCTGTCGGTCAGTTCCCTCTCATGGCAGAGCAGAAGAGGACAGTGGCCAAATTTTGCATAGGTAGTCAAGATCAATAGATAAGATTGGTTTCTGATGTAAGTATTGACCAGTCGTCAATCTGAAAAGATAAAGAAAATCAAGCCCAATTTATCAGCCAGTCGAATTATCAGTGTCCCCCTAATCATTTTAAACATTTAATTGTTGGGGGGGAAAAAAGAACTGAATTATGCCAGATGATTTTGAATGTTTTATAGACATTAGAAATAAAATCGGCGGTTCAGACAAACAAAACCAGAAATTGGTATCTGTGAGTAAAATCTCTAGAAATGTATCAATACTCTGCATAATCTCACACAGATTAAAACAGGCATGGAAATAAGAAATGCACTGAGAAATTGTCTGATTGGAGGAGTCAGACAATTCTATGCTTGATCAACCATGCACAGCAAGATTTTTTTTTAGTAAGATTTTTTTTTTTCTTTGTTAACCCATCATTCCCAAACTCTGACTGATTGCACAGACAACACTCTTCAGTGTGGAAGCTGTTACTGGGGAAAGAAGCTCGGCTCAGTTAGAAGGCATGTCGGCTATGTTATTAGACCTACAATAAAAACTCTATTGAAGACATTCATGATCAGTCATAAAGCCTCCATCTCAGTCCAGTTCTTTATTTCAGCCCAAATGTGCAGATTACCATTTGACTGAGCAGACAGGACAGATAGATGACATGGGAAGGCCTGCAGGGGGCAGTCAGGATGGACTGCACCATTACAACCAGACCTACATCCCATGAGAAACAAGGTGATGAGACCGACACAGGCCTGGAGCTCCCCTCATCCCACTCAGGGTTAAAGTACTCCACATCTCGGGGGCAGATTGCAAAGGGCTGCTCTGAGCATACGACCAACAATGGCCATCAGTGTGCATCCTTCATTAATCCTGCAGCATTTACAGTTACCCAGCAGTACCAGCCCTGACAACCAATCACTAGCCAGCCTGCCAGGCCAATAGCGCCACCCTGCTGCCCTCAATACATTCATCTTCCCACCAGGGAGGTTAAGGCTTCCAGACAGATGGAGCTAAGACTCCGCAATCAAGATGGAAGGGGATCGGACAATGGGAACGGACTGGGAGCAAAAATGCACAGAGCTTTGGGAGAAAGCGAGGATTAGAGAGAGAAACGTAGCGAAAAAAAGGAACAACAGGCTTCAATGTAGAAGGAAGAAAATGAAGAGCAAAGGGAGCAAAATAAACATGAAGGGTAAAGAAAAAAAAAAGACCAAGAAGCTCTTTTGATTACCCGCTGCAACTGATTAAAGAAGCCCCAGGATCTTGGCAGAGTTACTCATCTAAGTTGTGAAGGAGAAGAAGATGGCAGGGGCTGGTTCAGTCCAGGTTGCCTGGTCAAATGCAACAATATAGCCTGACCTATATTATATCTACAACTCTGACATTGTTGTGTCCTTGATTTGTTAAAGTGAAATTGCAAAATACATCAGATAGAGGTGTATTTCCGCTCACCTCAGGGCGAAAAGTCTCTGAGGTGAGGGCTTCCATCAGTTTCCTGGCCTTCATTCCCACTGCGGTCCGCATAGTGAGGAGCAAACTACATCAACTTTAGCTCAAAGTTCACCCACAGAAGTGATACAAACAACTTCCCAACATGACCTGAATGTTACACGGAAGCTTCTGTGAGCTGGTCTTCTTTGTCTTGTTGACTTTTCAGACTTTGGCATTGACATTTCTCTGAGCATCCAATACGTCTTTAGCTGCTCCATATTCAGAAGCAAAGGTCAGATTTCTGGACCAGGCTGAAACCAATCTGAAAGTTTATTGCTTTTTGCTCAGTGTTGAGTTGCAATAAAAACAATCCCACACTGAAAAAATGAGAAAAATCCAAACTTTGATTTTATATCACCTATGCAATATAGGTAAATCCATCTTAGGAAACTGTCTATCCGACTTATTGATAGTGGTCTGAAATCTCCCATCTTTTCACCCCCCAAAAAATGATACTAAATCAAAAACCAATCTGATAGTTTTGACAGTGTCTGCATTTCAAAGTGCTTTCATCATAAAAACACAAGAATACAAAGTCATGAAAACTACATGCAGTCAACAACTGAGAAACCAAAGACAAACATTACATTTTGATGAGTACCATCATCAAGATCATCAATACATATTATTTTTCACCTAGATGCTGAATTTCCTATATAGTGGTTTTGCACTAATTGTGACAACAACCACATCATCAAACTGTGGTCGAACTAGAATGAATCATATGCCTCAAAATAACTTTCTGTAATAAAGATGGTATCAAGAGTTTTTCTTAGTATCAGTACTGAGTTCAGTGGTTTCAATCCAATATGAACATGATTATGAACTGACCTGATAGAATAGGGACAGGTGAAGTTTGTGTCCCCCTGTCTCTGGTCAGCTTGCATCTGCAGCAGTCTCCCGATGATCTTTATTAGCCCCTGAACATTTCTGTTTACAGTGAAGAATAAAAGAAAGAAAAAAACAATCACAGATAATATCATTGAATCAGAATAAGTAACCATACACAAGAATGTCCTGCTGCTGAAGAAAGACTCCATCTGGGATGGATTCCTGTGTATACAGGGCGCTCTTTGGTCGAACACCAGGAGACTAAAAACAATGAGAAACTCAAAGATTCATATTATTCTAGTAAAATACAAGTACAACTTTTTGAACTGAAAAAACATAATTTATCCAGAGGCCAAACTTGTATAGAAAGTCCTTCATGGTTTGGCTCCACTACCGATAAAAGACTTTGCCCGGTAACACTTTATTTGAAGGGGTGTGCATAAGACTGACATGACACTGTCATAAACATGACATAACACCCATCATGAACAAAAAGAAGTCTTTAGGAATGTTTATGACAGTTGTCATGAAGTGTCAATCGGTAAATAATGACACTTTTAAAGCAAAGTTGCTCTAAAAGTTGCATTAAAAGTCCATTAAAAATGCCAGCTTTGCATTAAATTATCATAATTTACAAAATCATGCAAAGTTGGCACTTTTAATGCAACTTTTAAAGCAACTTTGCATTAAAAGTGTCATTATTTACCGAATGACACTTCATGATAACTGTCAAACATTCATAAAGACTTATTTATGTTCATGTTATGTCATGTTTATGACAGTGTCATGTCAGTCTTATGCACACCCCTTCAAATAAAGTGTGTCCCTTTGCCCATTTACATTTACAATGAAACATAATGCAAGAGCAGTTAGCAGTAGAGACAACTAATATTTAGGAAAAGTTCATTTGGTTAAGTGTCATTTTTTGTTCAGGGTTCAAATTCTTGGAATACACTACCTTTAGAATTATTACATCATTGAACTGTTTCAGGAAATCCCTTAAGCAATGCTTACTAGATAATCAAAACTGTACCCATGACTTTAATCATCTCATGTTTTACAGTTTGTTTTTTTACAGATGTGGCTTGTTTTAATTTTTTGCTATGTTTACTATAAACTACAGTACTTTTATCTACACATTGAAATTTGTCATAAATCATAGGCCATGTAAGTTGATATGAATTTTAATTGTAATGTTCAATCCCTTCCAACAACCTGCTTGGAATCTACAGATATAAATTAGCCTCTCTGACTCTGGCGTGTTGCTGTGATGTATTCATGTTGATTAATATGCATTGTCCCCTTTATGAAATAAATACATCTTAAATTTACCACCACAGCTCATTAAGTTACAGTATTTTACACATTTCGCCAAACAGTTGGCGCGCAGAACTCCACGGCACATCGGCAGACTCCAATGCAGAACCAGTTGTATCATTAAAGACCCCTTCAAACCGTGGGTACTCACCCACCCTCCTTTCTAGAAACTCACTTACCCGCTTCTGGCAGGCGCTACAGAAAACTCAGAGACAAGACAGAAAAACTGTAAGCTATCAACTATCCCCCACATGGCCTTCACACCAAACATACCTTGAGTGAATATCTAGAGCTGTGACTAATACTCATGCAACATTATTTGGTGGGGCAGCAGTGGCTCAGGAGGTACAGCAGAGTAGTTTTCACTCAGATAACGGAAGCAGATCTTTACTTTTAAGAGTTACTGATGAAAAAATCAGGGTTTGACTGCTCAGTTCATATGTGTTTTCTGGATGTTGAGGAGTCCTTCAGTTGGGTTCCCCTGAATTACTTTGTGTGGGCCGCAAATTATGGCAGCATAATAACCTTAGATAAAAATACCATGGTTTTGCTACAGCTCTAAAATGTGTTATTATGCATTTTCTTTAGCATGCTTTGAT